TATTCATGGAAAAGAGAGAGAGAAAAAAAAAGAAGAAAAGAAAGCAGGGCGTTTGCTCTGAAAATAGCATCAAAGCAACATCACTAATCCAAGAGTCACTGATGAAATGGCAAAAATCAAAGCAGCCTCAATTCGTTTCATAAACAAATGACAGATCTTTGGAAGGAAGAGAAAAATGGAGGACATCACTTTCATCATAACGCTGCAATCAAAAACAATTGGCCCGAGTGAATAAAGTCGTCAAGTCATTTATCTGCTGGCCATCATGCAAAAACCTGCATTATCAGCTGCTGCTGATCATATATGGTGGTGCCGTCGTGACGGGGAGCGGATCTCCTGACTGTCAGGTCTCTGCAAAAGGAAGGAAGTAGAGCCGAAGCGGGCGAGAGATGAAGAGGTGTATGCGACAGACTCACATGGCACTTAGCGCAGAAACATGAAAAAGACTTGATTATAGGTTGAGTAGAGGGAGGGAAGGAATGAATTACGTCGAGATGAAGAGAGCAACGCACAGAGAAGAAAAGAGGAGAGAAAGAGAGGAAGGCTGATAGAGATTTCATTTACACCCCAGGATTCACCTACTGAATACTGACAAGTCAGTGCAATATGCATAAATTGAGAAAAGACTGAGAAAATGTCATGTCACTTTGACAGTGAATGGCGTTTATGAGGAATAAATGAGATGTAATCCCCAGGTAAGGCCAGAAGTTTACATACAATATAAAGGCATCACCTTTCTATCGCTAAGTCGGACGTAAAATCCGACATTTAATCTGTATCTGGTAGCCTTTGAACAACGTGATTTAAGTCAAAATATTTGGGATGTCCTTTCTCAAGCATTCCACAATTTAGCTTGCTGGAACTTTGGCCCATTTCTCCTGTCAGAACTGCTGTAACTGAGTCTGCTTTGTCAGCTGCTTGTATCGTTCACATCTATTCAACTCTGCCGGGAAATTCTCTATCAGGTTAAGGTCTGCGCTTTGTGATCCTCCCAAACATCGTTTTTATTATCCCCGAGCCAAAATGCAACCATTTTAGGTCCATGCTGACTTCCCGGCTGATTATTTAAGATGTTTATTTTTTCCACATAATGTTATTTCCTCGTGATGCAATCTGTTTTGTAAAATTGCACCAGACCGTCCTGCAGCAAACACCCCCACGAGGCTGTCGTATCTTTACTTCACTATTGGAAAGTTTGTTTTTTTTAACTAAACTTTTTTCTTCCTGAACTGTGTGATAGCTGGACGTCACCATGGTGTTTATGCTTGTCTATAATAAAAATGAATGTGCCACCTTCAAATATATCTTGAAATTGGAGTTCACAATCTTTATTTTTTATTAAATATTTGCCCCAAATTTTCAAGTCTAAGAATGTTCCACACCAAAGCAACATACAAATAAACTGCCTAAAATTACGTCTTTGTCACATATTTCTTCTTTACATTGCTAGACTTTAATTGTTAAATGCAAAAATAAATAAAAGTTTCTTTTGTACAGGAATTTCTGTCGGCTTCCAGTGTCGAAAATATGTCAATCTCTAATGTAATAAACACATCGTCTTCCAACAGCAGCTGTGTAAAGTTCAGAAAACCATTCTGCTATAGTGGGATTTTCTATAGCGATAAAAAGATAATCACTCCACAGCCAAATGTGTTTAATGTGTGACTCAGTGCAATATTAGCCCCCAGATCAGTAAACAAACCCAGCATCTGGAGCTGGTCTGTGCGTCTCACGCTGCACAGCAGCTGGTGGAACCAGTCAGAGTAACGAGGGGGGTGACTGGGACTTTGTGGCCCCCTTTTCCAACACTAACTGGGTCAAGGTCTTCGAGTCCTTGAGCGACAAACAGCCTCTGGTCATTAAAAAAAAAAAGCTGTTTGCCGTCTGATCTGGGCGTGCTTGACTCTAATTGGTCAGGAGATAATTGATAAATGTGTTGGTAATTAACAGGGTGCTTTGCTGTTAATAAAATCCACATTTTGATTCTGGTCAAGGGAGATAAAACCAATTTCAAATCACTTTTGTAATTTAACACCAGAATGAATAAACTGGCTCATACTGACTGATATGATTAAGGGGAAAAAAACAAAAAAACCCAAAGCATCAGCTCTCTCACTCCAAAACAGTGAGTTTTTTTTTCTTCTTATTTTTATTTTATTTTTTTACAACTGCTGGGCAATGAGGAGAGTAAAGGTCTAAATGTCATTAAAACTTGAGATCAATGAAACACAGACAGAGGGTGTATGGCTCACTGTAAAACTTTTAGGTACTGTCTGGATGGCAACAAAACTTAACAAGGCTCGCAGTGCGTGTGTGTGTGTGTGTGTGTGTGTGGGTGTGTGCGTGTGTGTGTGTGTGTGACTGTCAAAGGGGGGAGTGAGTCTATCGACCCGGGGTCGGCACCTAAGAGAGAAAGAGCTGATAAAAAAAATAAAATCAACTGCAGCATTTACTCAAGTCCCGACAAATCGTGGTTATGATTGGAAAGAAGGGGGGAGCAATAAGACGAAGAATAAGAATGATGTGTGTTTGGGAAATGCAATTTGATGCGATTTAACAAACCAATAAGAAACATGTCACAGAAGCAGAATGAAGTAAATCGCTGAAAATTATGGTGGGAAAATCTTTGTTCTTTTTTTTTTTTCACAGCGCAGCGCAATCAAACATAATCAACACACTCATCCACTGATTTTGACTCTTTATGGAGGTACTGATTGTGTTAATCCACTGTCAAAGTTGATTAAACTTCAGTTAAAATAAACATGTATTGTGTTGATAAAAAGGAACTCCATCCCCTTTGAGTTTTAGACGTCAAAACATCCTCAAAATTATCCAGTTTATACCAGATGTACTAGACTCAGTGTGTACAGTGAAAACACAAGAGACTGCAGAGTTTTTGTTACTGTTAGCCACTGAAGACGCCAGTGTGTAAAACCTAATTACATTCTTTGATTTAGCAGCGATAACTTATTCTGATGGACTTAATCTCTTTACAGCAGTGGCAGAAAATAGTGTCACTCTTTACAGTAGATGTAGTTTTCTGTTCTCATACACAGGGATTTCATCTAAATCCAGACTGATTGATGGGTTTTGATGTTCATCTGCATCTGTCTACAGTATAAAATGAGGTTTCAGAAAAATGCTTACTGCCGTGACTCTCCTCAATCTGAAAACATTTCCACAACTCATGTTTTATGTGGTTATAATTCATCCACTTCATGTGAAGAATTCAGCAGACAGTTATGTAAATCAAATAAATCTTTGTCTGCTGTTGTGGAATAATTGACTTTATTGCTTAAAGTACTTACTTAGTTCAAATGTCTAATCTTCCTTGATATTTCCAAGGTATTTCCATAAATCTAATATGTATTTATTCATTAAGTCTCTGGTTTGTTGTACTTTATGTCAGATGGATTTCAGAATGACATCATCGCTCTCTTGTAAGCTCCGGTGTTGCAGTCGTTTCTATGAAGTAAAATTATCATGAGCTTTATTATTTGGGTGTAGGTCTACTGATCTACATTTTCTAGAAAAAACACGCAGAAACTGGCTTTACCACACTAATTGCCAATATAAACACTAAAGAAAATGATTTTTTTTCTTTTTTTTTTAAGCCGATCCTAAATCGCTGTTTTACAGTAACTGAACTCTCACACAGTGTGACGTCACCTCTAACGGTAATAGAAACAATCAGTAATGAAAGGCTGATGAGAAGATTCAAAAAAAGAATACGCTTAAAGTTGAAGAAAGGTTTATTTGTCCTAGTTGGGCAAACCACTGTGGGATCAGTTGTCATTCTAAGCCCGTAGAAGGTGATTCAAGGTGTAAATTAACACATCTAACAGCTGGATGAATAAATGTGTCTAATCTAAAGTAGCGCATAAAAGCAGAGTCTGTCAAAGCAGCTAGAGATGGTTTCCAGCTAAAATCAAATGACTTTTCCCATTCAAGGACACCACTGTCATCTTTATTCAACACGGGGGCTTAATTATTTAGAAATGATCTTTCGTTAGAGCTATCGGTGCTGCTACACTGAAGCATAAAGGCAACCTTTTGAAATTTACTTGAGCCGGTGCCTGCTGCTCTCACAGGTACACAAAATATTTAGCAACAATAAAACACATGGAAATCCAGAGCTTTCAGGAAAAGGCAGATTTCAGTTTCAAAAATAATCAATGATCATTTTGAGCCAAATGGTTTTGAAAAAAAATTTTTATAAAAAAGCCTTATGGTCTGGCAATCCTGAGCTATAATGAGTCCAATCATATTTGTTATTTCATAAAATGCACCTACAGAGCAGCACATCACTATATTTGCCTTCACTGGTAAACATTGTAATTGTTTAAGGTGACAGAAGCAGAATATGACATTTAGTGATCCAATGAGTGGCAAATATGAGGAGAAAACAATAAGACTGAGTCCTAAATGTGTGTCCTGTTAAATCCTGCTGCGAAAATCCAGAACTTCATTGCTCGGCTGTGTTTGTATTATGTGTTCAACTGGCTTTCAACTTGAGAGAATTATAAACAATTTTTACTTGTTTTTGCCACTAGTTGACCAGGTAACGCAAATGTGGAAAAAGAAAAGAATACTCTCACAAAGAGCCATATTATGCATAATTTTAGCAGCACACAAGACCTGCTGAGTAATTTGGTGTTGGTGACAGCAGGGTTGTTCAGGTGATTGCCCACGTTTGAACAGATTGTCTCAGGAAAGTGTTTACTGCTTTCTGGATAACGGCTGCAGCAGAGAGGAGCAAGACATACGAGGGTGAGGAACAACTCTACTTAAAGGAATCAATGCACTGCTGGGCTTTTCCCTTTCATAGGAATTTATTGACTAGTTTGAACTCTGCTTTCTAATCAGGATGTCTTAGATTTCGCCTCAGAAATTTCTCAAACAACAATGGCAAAACTCGGCGAGAGTTGTTCTTATTCCAGACGTGTGCGACAGAAATGTTTCGACAAGAAAGAACGAAAGAAAAAAAAAAGTTTGCTTACTCTGGACAGATCTCCAACCTCCAGGTAAAAACAAATGATGAAAACATTCCAGGTCATCCAGACGACGAGCCAGGCTGCATACTGCGCACACAGAGGGAGACACACGGAGGAGAGAGGAGTCAGACACAGAAAAGAAGATCCGACAAGCTGTGGTTTGGCTTAATTAAAAGGAAAACATGGTCACGTCTTGCTTGTGGAGCGAGTGAGATGGAGGAAGAAGTAGAAGAAGAAAAAAGAAGATAGAGTTTCTGCTTTTGATGTTATTAAAATGCAAGACAAAGAAAAACAACAGCAGAGAGCGCAACCAATCTCCTGAATCAAATCCGACAGGACGAGAGAATGGATGGTGAGTTTCTGTACGTGAAAAAGAGATTTATAGGACGGAAAGAAGAACAGAAAAGATTTATACAGCTTCTATCGTCTGAGTCATCTCTCTAAGCATTGTCTGTAAGAGTAAAGTCGTTTCTAGATTGAGGTCCTCTGGGATAAAAAAGATCCTAACATTAAAACTGTGACTTCAGGATCACTCAAAATCATAATTCTTAAAGCAGGGACCAGTATTACTGAACAACAGGCTTTTGATAAATTCATGATATAGCTTACTGTGTGGGTTGTTTTTTTTTTTTTTTTTGTCGAGTGTGCAAAACTTACCCCAGTGACATATTTGGGCCTGAACTGAATGGTGCCGAACAGGCCCAGGATTACAACAATGATGTGTAGGAAGTTGGTCAAGATGGGAGCCCATTGGTAGCCCAGGAAATCGATCACCTGGCGCTCCAGCACGCTAACCTGTGGGAGGGACACAGGAGACTGTTAAAACAATCTGATAGCTGTGAAACGATACCATACTGATTTACATAAAATGTTGAAAAGGCGTGAGTCAAAGAACGGAAACTGAATCAACATTGAAGTTAAAAGGAAGTGGTGTCTTCTGCTCAACTGTGTTTGATTTTAACAAAGTTTCTAATAGGTTATAGTTTCAAAATCACAAATATAGTTGGTCAAAAGTCTGATGAACAACACAGCAAACAAAAAACGGTGTAAATGGACGGTCAAAGTGGCCAGAACCAAACAAAGCATCTGAGTAGACAGCTCCGTCAGGTATAGATAGAAAGAAAAAGGTTCTTCAAAAAATTTTTCCAGACTTTTGCACACCTTTTTTCAAAGTCCATTTGATATCCAAATGGGCCGGCTAAACTCAGGAAGAAGAGCAGGTCAAATAAATAAAAAAAAAAACAAAATTGCCAAAGATTGTATGCTCATGTTTGGATTTAAACCACCAACGTCTTCAGTTTTGATTCAATCTTATGCTTGAATGATTCATAGGTCAGGGATAAGTCTAAACAAAATAAAAGTAAAATAAATTTTCTCTGAAAACAGTCTTGTGCAAGACCACTTAAAATAATGAGAAGAACTGCAAGCTCCTTGGAAACAAGATTTAATTAAATCAAGCACGACTTTTTCCACTATTACTGGGCAGCTGACTTTCAACGCACTTACAAAATCACAAAGACCATTAGGCCAACATTTTATCACAGGCATACACACAGACATATACTCTGACTTAAAACTACGAGGAGGTTTTTAGGTATGTTTCTCACAAGTATCCCATGAGTTCAGAAACGTACAAAGTTTACCTCTTTTGGTCAAGACAGAATAAATAAAGACGACTTCGCTGCTATTAAGCTTCTCGCTGCTCCACAAACTGATAAAACACATCAGAGTCAGATTTTTGTGATTTTTATGGCCTTTTTTATGATATTTTGTTCGGCTCATGATTTCATTCATACTGCTTCGGTTTGAAGGGAAGCAATCTCGGGTCAGGATGCCAGCATCACTGTACTTTACTGTGGGACATTTCACAGCCACGTAAACCAGTTTCTGTTTTGTCTTTTAATCCATTTTTAAGGCACCTTTGCTTTCTGTAATGCTGCCAACATCTTCTCAAATTATACATAATAAAATCTGATACATTTCTACAACCAGAGATCTATTTTTTTTTTTTAAAGACTGATATTCTGACATTTTCAACCGTTTGAAATGTCAGAATGATTTTGCTTGGAAAGTTTAACTTTATTTCAGGTAATAATATTCACTATTATTCAACTTAAGTGTACAGTTAACATAAATAATGCTGAAATGAAATGAAAGGTGTTTCATCAAAGGGTTTTTACATTTCTTCTGTTATTGGTGAATCAAATAAAAAACAAAATACACAACAATATACACATCACAATAAAAATATACTGTATAGTTATCAGAAATAAAAAGCGCATGCAGTTTTTTTATGTGCATTATGTGTATTAAACTTCAAAATGACAACACAGTGTTTGTCTTTTTAATTATAAACAGTGCAGTACAGAAAAACAGTACAAATGAGTAACAGTGCAAATGACTGCGAAACATTTACCATGACTTCAATAAATTTAGACATACACAGACATCTTTTCGATGACATATTCTACTTGTCACATTTCAACCTAATTTTTACATTGTTTAAACCAAAAGCTCTATTTAATGTAATTTGGCCCCAAGGGGTTTGTTGTAGGCCTACTTTTGCACTAAATTTCAAATACATGTGCACCATTATTATGAAATCCCTCAAGAAGAAGGGAGATGTTAATCAGAATATACCTTGAATCCCAAATGCTTCATTGTAATGAAGTAAATTGTAATCAGCTGTGCGTACATTGCTTTCAAGCGCACAGTGTGGAGTGAGCACAGTGTTTGTGTGTGTGTGTGTGGGTGTGTGTGTGTGTGTGTTTGGGATTATTATCCTTCAGTCACTAGAGCCTCATGCTGAGATGGTTAATGAAGTCGGTGCAGCGCTGCTAGATTTATGAACTTCCAGACACAGGGAGAGGGCGTTATCGAGGTGACGACACAGAGAAACAAGAAAGACGCAAGCGGAGAAAATACAAAACTAACTTTAACTTAAAAAAACAAAAGAGAGATAATGTTATTCTGAGTTATCTCTATTCTCTTGGCACACGACTTTCTGCACGAATGAGTCTAGAGAGCCCTAATGTGAGGCCATATGGTAACACTGCAGCCAAATGGAAAACACACACACGCGCACACACTTTGTGTCTGAATACAGAGCGATACAAAACCAATCAGATATGAGTTTTAATTACAAGGCAGTGATTGTAGGAATTAAAAGAGGAAGAAGAAGGTGGATGAATTATTCTGTTTGGTGTGGTGACATATGTGGATCCATTCCTGTGGGTGTGTGTGTGTGTTTCCATGTCATGGGAGGTCTGTTGTGCTTGCACTTGACAGCACCTGCTGTTACTGGACACACTGGGCCCAGCTGGCACCACAGAGTGCACGGCATGCGTGTGTGTGTGTGCGTGTGTGTGTGTGTGTGTGGGCAAGGAAGGAAAAAGATAGAAAAGACGAATGAGGGACATTGTGCCTCTTTGTGTGACTAGCCTTTATGCGCAGGCTCTCTTTCTCAGCTTCTTTGTGTGCTTGCTTCATTGTATTATGTGGAAGTGTGTCCTCCTATTGACAATTATAAAGTGCTGCAACTGTGTGCCTCTCTCGCAAAGCATGGACACACACACAGAAACGGAGGCCATTAGAAAAAAGTCAAAGGCCTCCCAGCCCATTACAGAGGCCCCCGGGTCCTCCCCCACTTCTTTCATCGCCAATAATATAAACAGTCTTCGCTCCAGCTGGGGATGCATTTATTTACTGGCAATGCCCCAAAATAACTCTTAAGCTACACAAAATGCAAGAGCGGGGGATAAAGAAGATGTTAAGGTGATGGATCAGTTATGACAAAACTAAATGTTCCCCGCTGCAGATTTCTTTAACTTCGGCTAATATAGGAACATATAAGAGCAATAACCCAACCATCTGTTCCTCTGAGTCGCACTCATCTTTTCACGTGAAATTCTCATTACATGGCTCAGCTGCCAAAACAACCAACATCAGCCTCCTCGGTTTTGTCGTTCTTTGTTATCCGGCCTCTCAGTTCTCCTGACAGACACACATAAAAAAAAGAACAAAAGGAAGAAAGAATGAAAGCATGCTCACAGGCCCCCTTAAGTCGGCATCCTTTGCACCTATCAAACGACTGGAAAGCTTTGAATAAAGTGTGAAATCGCCTCGGTTTCCCTGTAACATTAAATCCAAGAGGAAACGGAGGGAGGGATATAATGAGACGTCTATTCGGTAGCAGCAGATACATTAGCAGATATGGTAGGTTTTCTGCCATACATGCGGCTGATGAAAGACTGTGCGGTGTACAGGTGGCGCTTCAAGCTGCCTTGCATGGTCCTGCGGGATCTGCTGCGACTCACTTTGAAGCTGCAGAGAGAGATGTTCATTTCGGCGCTGTCGCTCGGAGCAAAGCTACATTAAGCTTGTCCTGCGCTGCAACCGAAGAACCCACCAGTGGACATCGTGTGTTCCAGGCAAAAAGATTTAGAAAGATGGCTGAATTTCACTGTACATATTTCCAAATGCCTTTGGGAGTTTTACTCGGTGTATCATTGTTTAGTATGAGCGTGGTTGAGAAAGCAGAGAAGGACTTGGTATGCCGCCTTCAGTCAACCTGCTTACCTTCACACTCTTTTGCTGGCTTGAATAATGCACACTTCATTATGGAGATCATTTTGTTTTTTTTTGTTTTTGTTTTTTGTAAAAAGGACTGCCTCAAAATATTCCGGAATATTTTCTCCACACAGCTCACATGTAACGGCTAGCTTGCCTGTAGCTTCATTCTCCTTGCCTGGAAACATTGGTTTGTATGCTGTATATAGATGTAATCATAACATAATATGCCCTGGTAATTATGACTGTTCAACAGAAACAGCTTCATCTAAAAAAAAATAAAATAAATGAATAAAAAATCTACAAAGTGAACTTCATAACGCCCTTAAGTCGGTCTGAATCGTTTTAGGCGGGAGGGTCAAAAAGCAGCACCACTTCGGTGCCTGCATCTAAAAATACAAATGAAAACTAAAAAGCAGGCAGGAGGTTTGCATGTTATATTTAGTTACCCAATTCTTCTCCTTGGCCGCAAATAGACCACATTTGTAGCTGCTGTTACAGAGAGAGCGATGCTCAAACAGCCTCTGAATAGATTAGTGTCTGATGAAGGGGGCAGTGGAGGCGGGAGGGAAGGAGCCTCCGCTGCTTTTGGGAAAAATTTTGCTCTGTTTGATTATGAATGATAGAATGATAAGAAAGAGTTATTATTGCTCCAGACAGTTTAGTCTCACTGTGACTATTATGAGGCCCTGCAGAGGGATGAAAGTGTCTTTTATCCTAAGTAGGAAAAGAGATGGAAATAAGACAGGGTGAGAGAAAGGCTGGGCGCTCTGATGAGAGGGCATGAGGAGATCAGGGGGTGATTAAGATGCGGCTGTCGCCGGGAAGGATGATGAGACAGAATCAGTAAGTGAACGAAATGAATCGTCACAGGCTGTCCTCTGCCACAGCTCCTTCTTCACCTGGCCACTCGTTTTTGAGGTTTTTTTTTGTTTGATTCTTATTCTCCACTTGTTCATTTCCTCCCATCCCTCTTTTCCAAATCATCTCATCAGCCCCCGCTCTCCTTACTCTGCTCTCCTACATATTTAATATGTGTTCATCTGTTACCAGACATGTTGTGTCATAAAACAGTAAATTACCTCATCTGCCTCCTCCCATTTTCCCTCCATTACTGCACACACTCGCCCCCTCCTTCGCTACTACTTCCACTGTCTCCGTTGCCAATATTCCATCTCTTCTCTCTGCACTTCTCTCCTACCTGCTTAGCCAAAGTTTTGCTACAG